GGGAAGAAGAAGCAGAACAATAGTTTGATTTCCCCATCAGACACAAGAACTGGCTTCTGTCCAGGTCTGTCTCCATCCGTAGGCAAAATGCATAAGCTCCTTGATAAGCAGAGAACAGGAATCCAAAGAAACCAGGCAGTGTTTCTACCAGCAAAGGTGGAGATTAATTTTTGGTGGCGTGCTAGACAATAAGTCAATAGATGACAAATTGGGTAGCTTCACCCAGCTGTCAGAGGGAACTGTTCCCTCAGAGAATGGAGTCCCATTTTCTGGTGGCATAAAATCCTCTTCCTCCGGTTTATTATCCTCCCTTGTTGAATGGCTAAATTTGGCATTTTCCAAGTCACAGGAAAAGTCCATGTTGGCCCATAAGAAAGATTCCCATTCCATATTAGGGATTCCACCCCCCCCCAAAAAAAAATTCTTAATGGTGAGTTCTCACTGATGAAATTTCAGTGGATTGGCCTGGACTGTTAACAACCAATCTGCATAAAAAAGGGAGTATTCATGATTGTAACTTTGAAATTTGGGCTGCTTTTTAAAAAACCCTGTGATGTTCTGTTTTCACTTCTTTGTGGTCATGACAAGGGAGAATTAGATGATGTGGTTACTCCCCTAAAGCAGTTCTATTTCACACCCACACTATATATTTAAAATGCATGGCTTCTCCAAAAGAATTCTGGGTACTGTAGTTTACAGAGCTATGATTCCCATCACTCTTAACAAGCAACAGTTCTGAGGATTCTTTGGCGGGGGGAACCATGTATGGTGTAGACTTGACCTTATTACTGATCTCAGTGTCATGGAGACGGGGAGCAACCACTGTGTAGAATCAACTCCAGTGTCAGGGCAGCGCCCCAGTACATAGGCCGCTATTGTATTTTACTATTATTTCTAATGCTTAGAATCTGTATGCATATAAGGGAAAGGGAATGTGGCTCTGGCCTCACCAACATTTGACTCTAGCCCTTCCCACCACTGCCATGGAACCCCTCCAGAAGATGCGTCGTGAAGGGGAGGCAGCCCTCAGCTTGAAATAATGTTCCCTATTCCTGCCGAGCTGGTTCAGAGCAGGAGCGTCCATCTTGGATTGGCTTGAGGAAGCCAGGGCAGTGTGTGATAGTCTTTACGATGGCCCCTCCTGTCAGCACCAAAGACCACCAGTCACCACTGGGTGCCTACATCAAGCCTAGTTCACGCCTGTATGTCCATTCTTTGATTACTGCAACATCCAGGGATGTTTTGATGTGTGAATGGGCCTTCTCAGTCCAAGTTGCATAGAAAGCAACTTGTTAATATACTTGTTAACACTCTTTCTGGTCTTGCCACCGTTCACCATAATTAAAATCTCTCTCAGGTGCCGGGCAGATGTTGCCAGGTGCTTTGGGGGCCAATGTCTTAGGAATGACTCACACAAAGGTGTGGCAGCCTAGCTAGCAAGCACTGGGTTTCAGTACATGTTTCTGATGCAAGATCTCCTGTAGGCAAGGGAAGGTTGGAGTCTGATGGGGAACTCAATGCTAAAAGAGGAATATAACAGAATTACTTCTGTTGGGGGGGGAGGCAAGGAGTGACTTTTGATCTATTTAATTCTCTCTGTTTCCTTCCTCTTCCCCAAATTTATAGATAATATCTCTCTTCTGGTCTGCAGACTTCCAGCATGTCTAACTCAGCTTCTGTGAAGCTGAGGGTGGAGACAGTTTATAGCCAGCAAGAACAGAGCTAGTAGCTGAGACCAGCAGGTGAGAACCAGAAGCTTTTGTCCAGGTGAGAGAATAGCATTGGACTTGTTCGTCTGTAAAGAGGCTTCCTTGACTGTCCTCTCTGTAGTTACTTCCCTGATTATCCCAGTGATGTTCATTGCAAGCCTTCCAATGTTTCTGGTTGGGAAAACGGGATACACACACCCATACACCTCCCAATACCCCACTTGAACTCTGTGTGCCTTATTTTCCACACATGCATCGATGCAGACTTTTCAAAAGGGAGAAGCAGCAGTGCAAAGCCGTTTCTCACTCTCAGGAGTGATCTGTCATTCAAAAGCACTTTTTTTCTTTCCCCACCCCTCTTCCCCATCTCCAAAACACTCTCGGGTGGGCACGAAATTGACACCAGGCCAGAAACAGCTTGTTGGCTGCCATAGTCAATTTCATGATTCTGTTGACTTGGATGGAATTGTTGACAAAGATGGCTGTAATTCAGAGGCCTTGTTACCAGCTGCAAATTCAAAATCGGGGCTAGTGCGATGGTAATAGGGAAGTCACTCTGTTGCTGAACAAGAGTTGAGAATTATCCCTCCCCACAAGATTTCCTTTTTTCCTGTCCTGTGCTACCACCACCCACCAAAGTTCTGCAGTGCCTCCTGTCTTTTGTACTACACACCATCAAACTGTTATTAAACTCTGGAATTTATGCTAGAGGGCTAAAACGATATGTGAACCATTAATGCTGTTGCCATAAGCATAGAGAAACGAACCTAGTAGAGGAAGAAAGAAAGATTTGTTCTGAATCTCTTGGAAGAGCTTCAGCCTATCTTGTGATGAGGGGAGGGGGTGGAAGAACACAAGGCGAGCAAAGCCACACAAACCACAAAAGCAGACGTTTGGCCTGCAGCCTGGTTTTGCGCTGCTCTACAGATTTAATTATACAGATGCTGCTCTTGCAGAGAAGTTATTTCGTCCCCCCTTCAAAAAAAAAAAAAAAAAGCATTTTCCGTTCAGAATGAGTCACAATTGGTCTGGTCTACCAAATGTGGGTAGATTTCAAAAGATGCGGAATTTTCTGGAAGGGCCTTTTGCACCAAGCCATTTGCTTGCTTGCTTCTTTTTGAAAGAAGCATTAGGGCTGCCTCAAGACACACCCAGCCAAGGATGGATGGGAGGTTTGGTCACCAGCCGAACAAACCCTGAGACCCCAAGCCGGCAAGCTTCACCCTCTTCCCCTTTTAGCAGCCATGCATGGTGGCTTTCTCAGGTGCTTGAGTGCAGGTGCGGATTAACAACAGGGATCGACCGAGATGCACCAAGCTTCGCCAGCCTGATGCCCTCCAGATGTTCTGGACTACAAATCCCATCTGCCCCAGCCAGCATGCTGGATTCCATTCTGTGCTGGGTGCTTTAGCAGAAAAGCAAGACAGATCTTTGTGTCTTGTAACAAGCATTTCCGCTGTACTTATTAGAATGGTTACAAATGATACTTGCCCCCACCACCATCACATCCATCCAGCAGGCTCTCCTATCATAGTTGCTGAAATGTTGCAACACTTATCTTCTCGGTGGAGAGCTGAACCAGAGATCCTTGCATGCAACATGTATTCTCCTGTATTTCTGCAAAGAAGGAATCACCAAACCAAGAGTCAAGTCAATGCTATCAAGCACTGACTGGCTGCTAGCGTGGAAGAGGTGAAGAAGATGCCTCGGTTTGAAACCCACATGCACAAGCCAATGTTCCTTGCTGTAACATTTGAGAAGACAGTCCCTCTGTTTGGCGGCACATATCCAGCACAAGAACAGCGTGTGAACATACTCACTGGACAATGTGAGCACAAACCAAGCAAAGGTTGGAATTTTCAGCAATAACCCTTTGTTCTTGCAATATGGAATAAGTGCAGTGATATCCTTCCCTCAGATATTGGAAATTGTGGTACGGGTTGTTGGCTTCTACTGAATTTGTTTTTAATCGCACCTGTTGGGGTATATGATGCTGCCTGTCTGTAGTACATTTATTCTGTCGTGTACTACAAATGGAAAAGCTGGCAGTCTGGAGACTGAGATGTTGCGTGGGAACAAGCCAGCCACATTTTAAAGCTTTTAGCGTCATTATAGACTTATATAGTAACCCTGTCATATAATGTCTTTAATGAAGGTGTGAGGAATCTTTGGCCCTCCATAGGTCTTCTCAACTACAGGGTGTGTGTATATTTTGATGCCAGTATTTTCTACATTCTTGGAATGGGCAAGGAAATTGATCCTTCATTGGGTGGGGCTGCTACCATTGGGTTTCCCAACCTTACCCTGGTTGTGTTTAACATCCACCTAGCTGGTAACAATGGGCTGGTAACGAGGTTAATCTTCCAATATGGTAGCTAAAAGCATGGGACTAGGGTGTGGTGTGGTGTGGTAGCTATTTCAGATGGATAAATGTGGAGAACAGGGGTGTGGTTCTTCATATGTGTCATGCAGGTGAGCCCCTAGTGGTGGCTTTGGGACAGAAGAAGCCATGCATGCCAAGATGTGCAAAAACTAAAGAGGACTAGGCTTCTCTTTCTCTCCCCACTCCCAATTCCGGAGATAATGGCAAAAAGGAGCAAAGATTTAGGTTTAAAATCTCAAAGTGGGAGAAGAGTTGGATGGCAGAACCAATTATTAGAGTTGACTGTCCATCACTGCTTGTTGGACAAACATGTGATAAGTTGATTTGAGCATGGATAATGGGTTAAATAGTCAAGACACTTCCAGCTCAGTAAATCCTGTTTTTTCCCTGCATTTCAGAGCTGTGAAGAAACATTAGAGTGTTTGGCCACAGGCCACAGACTTAACTGTCTGTAAAGTTTCCAAACATGTTCATATCTGTTACATAAATATACTCTGTTTCTTCTGTACATTGATTTTATTCTTTTGCCTCCTTCTATAAAGGCCGTTTATTCCAATATCTCTCTGCATCTTTTGGCTTTGGTACTTCTAGCTGCTCTCGGCTCTTTTTTTAAACAAAGAGCCCCAGGACTGTTCCTGCCAACTGCCATGTTTAATTTTTAAAAAGATCCCGGACAATAAAACCCTCTCATTGTAAAACTATTTTTCCACTGGCTTCGTCACTGCCGCACTTAGCTGGATGTTCCCTCTCCCAGCAAATGGCTGGGATGCATCATGAAAGCTGCCTTCAGCATCCACAAGGAAGGCTGTGCCACATCCCCCCACAAATAGCTGCCACCACCCCCTTCTCCGCCCATCTTCTGCTGCTGCCTTTGGATTGGTCGTTGGAGCTTGTGACTCCTCAGCTGCTAGCCTATATAAGGGCAAGGGAGTGGCACTCTCGTCCCCCACAACTTTGAGCAAGGACCCAAGTGAGCTACAGGAGCAAACAGCTTGGAAGGACAGCATCATGCCTGTGAGTCTGGGGAGAAGGTGGGGGGCAGCTGGTGGGTATCACTGACTGCCCAACAGGGGCAGGCGTTCCAATGCACCAAGGGCACTGGAGTGCCAGCCTCTCTTAGTGCTGGAAATCTGCAGGCATGTCAGCGAGGCTGAAGGGAGAGAGTCCTGCTATCGATTGATGGTGCTTTTTTCAGGAGTTGTGCTGATTCATCTGTAGTGAGATAGGATGTTTGGCTATTAGACTGTGCATTCTCCTCACACGCCGCAATCAAGAGGAGGGATGTGGTCAGGGGAGAACCCCATAGCAATGGGGATCCTGCAACCCTCTCTTTCTCAGAAGGACATTTTTGTAGCAAGGCGAAGATTGGAGTTCTGCTTAGATTTGCGTTTGCGAGGATTCATTTCTCCTAGTCTTCAGCCTATAAGCTTTCCACCGCACACAGAGAGACATGCACCAGATAGGGAAAGTTGCTGGAACTAGCTACTTCTGGCGCCAGCCTAGCTTGTGCCCAGACTCTCTAATCCCATTTTTGAAACTTGCTCGGAGCCTGGAGTAATAATAAATGAATTATAAGCACTTAAAGGCACCTGTTGGATGTGAGAGGTGGGAATGTTCAAAGGCAGCTGGGCGTGGCTCAGAACATCTGCCGGCGGCCTTCGCCAGTTAAGCCTTTCTCTTCTTGCTAGGAGGAAAAAATAGATATCATTTTCACTTCTTTCTAGAGAAGTTTTGTAACTTAGGCTGCTACCTTCTTGTTGCTGGCCCTGCTCCCAACACAGGAACTAAGATGAGGGTGCGTTTCCTCCATCTCTTTATCTCTGTGGCAGGAAAAGCCCCACTTGTTTAAGTCAGGCTGCTGTTTAAACGGAGCAAGGTTTTATACCCATTTTACTGATTGGATGGCTGAGGCTGTGAGTGGTGCACTAACTTCTATATTCATCTGTAGCAGGAGAGGTGAGGACCATACTCCCTTGCATGGGGTATCAGGGAGTCTGGAAGCAGGACACTCAGAGCCACATGCCCAATAGTCTGGGCTAATGGGAGTTGTAGTTCCAACATCCACAGGTTCCCCATCACCGCCCGACAAGCTGGTGCTTAAGAGTGCCCTGGTTGATTTAATTCATCTGATGAAAACAGACTATTGCCTACCAAACCTAATGCCACAAAAATTGCCAGATATATAGTTATTTCAAGACTAGGTGATTTTTAAAAAATATTAACCTGCTTTGAAGCTTAGGAATCAAATGTGCTACATGCCCACATTTTTGTTTCGGATTCTTTTTGGTGGGTGATGAATAACATGACATCTTCTTTCATTAGAGGTGGCCCTCTGGGTACTGTTGACTACAACTCCCATCATCTCTGACCGCTAGCCATGCCAGCTGGGGCTGGTGGGAACTGGAGTCTAGTGATATCTGGAGGGCTGCTGATTCCCTGTCCCCCTCTTAGTTAAGCAGGAAAATGAGAGCAAGCTTCCTGAGGGTAGTTCATCTGCAATAATATAATCAGACCAGAATTTACTGCTGCTTGGCAAAGGGAGAGAACGAATCACTCCTCTCTCAATTCCTTCTCTAGGGAATTACTTGCACCAGCCTGCATGTGGCCCCCGGCGTCCGTCTCGCTGTGAAAGGTGATATCCCAGCAGGAGCTAAGAGGTAAGCTAGTTTCACAGGGAGAGATTACCTTTGGGCACGCAGACATTCCAAACCTGCACAGGCCTTGGGAAGCTTTGGCTCTCATGGCTTCCCCCAAAGAATCCTGGGCATCGTTCATAACATTCTGAGAACTCTGTTGCAGACCTGCACTGCCCCTCGTCTTCCAGATATCCAAACTCCAAGGGATTCATCGGAATGACGGTTAAACTAGCGTGGAGCGCTAGGGCTCATCTCCATTGTCGTTTGACAGTAATGATGTTCCCTGTATGACATTCTCCTCAAAATCACTGGCTGCCCACCCCTTTCCCTGCTCTTACTCCAGATTTTCTCATTCCCTCTCCTTTCTGGAGTATCCTCGATATGAGAAAGTCTGGATTAAGGAGAGAGAAGAAAGCATGAAAAGGCAGTGGTTGGAAGAAAACTTCATATAAACAACAGGGAATTAATGAAGATTCAGGAAACTTACTGCCCACCTTATGGATAAGTCCGTAGGTATGCCCTTGGTGGCATGGGAGGGAGGAGGGAGACCTAGGGGTAAAACTGCTCCCCATTAAGCTACAGAGAAGAAACCCATTTCCCTTGGTCTTAGGGTGTGTCCACACCAGAGCAAAAGGTGGACCCCATCCCAGGTTGTCTCCAAATCTCCCTCCTTAAATGTGGATTATTTTTTTCTGATCCTAGCCATGTCAGACATTCTAAGGATTGTGGGGGGGAGGGACACACCCGCATTTAAAGAGGCAACCCTGAGATGGGGAGGGGTTTATGTAGAGGGTGCCATGTCTCCCAACAGGAATGGGGAAACAAGCCGGTGCAAATGCACATTTTCCTCCATTGTGGAGAAACCCTTGCTTTTGTGGAAATTGCCAAGGAGGGGAAGGAGTAATGCCCACCCCCAGCAGCATTTTCCAGTGTGTTACATCGGAACTTAGACCAGCTCATGGCCTCGCCTCCCCCATGCTTGTGCTGCTCCTGCCAAGAGCCTAAACAGAACCAGATGTTGGAAGCAACCATCCTTCTCTCTCCCTTCCCCCCCACCCGCCCCTTCAGTCTCCTCTTCCAAAGCCTTTCTCCCCTGAGTGCCCACTGTACACAGTCAAGACCCGCTTGGTGCTGTTGCCAGGAAGAATGTACATCTTCTCCAGACGAACGCACTGCTTTTTCTCTTTCCTCATTGTGGTTTTCCGCTTGGGAGTCCCTCCTCTGTCCCAGATTTACAAGCGTCTCGTTTTTGTAGGGCAAGCTGTACAATCCATCCCACAGCAATCAGGGTAAGCATTTAAACGAGAGCACAGAACTTTGCCTACTTTCAAGGAGCAGCCACAGTTGTGTAAGAGCAATGAATGTGCAGGGGGTCGGAGATGCAAATAGCAGCCAACAGGGGGCTTCACTTAGCAGCAGTGGAGCATCTGGGGTTGGCCATTGGAACCAAAGTCCAGGGTCCAAAGCCAGCACATTCATGAGGCTCGGTGAGGCAGTCGCCTCGGGTGGCAGGCAGAGCTAGGAGTGGCGTCAGATCTGGACCACTCCCTGCCTCCTCCACTGCTGCTGCCTCCAACTCAGCCACTACCACACCTCCTCCAATATTCCCACCACTGCCACCTGCTCCTCTTCAGCCTTCTTTTTCTCTCCACCGCCACCTTCACCACTCCAGGGCTTCACTGGGCAGCCTCTTCACGTGAGGCGGCAGCAGAGAAAAGGCAGTGCCTCCCTCCGCCATTTTCCTTTTTTGCCTCAAGCGGCAAAATGTCCTGAGCAGGTATGGCAACCTCGGCACCTGCATGGGTACTGGCATGCCAGCCCAGGACTTAATGCCAGAGCTAAGTCAGACTGTTGCTCCATCTAGCTCTAAACTGCCTGCAGTGACTGGCAACAGCTCTCCCAAGATTTCGGGAAAGGGTCTCTCCCAGCCCTTTCTGGAGATACCAGGGATCGAACCTGGAACTTTCTGCATCTGAAGGAGAAGCTCTGCCGCAGAGCCACCACTTTTCCCACGTTGACCTACATATGCCTCTGAAATACTTAAAAATGCACGCCAAGCCGCTTCTAGATCTCACAGAGCGATGGAGTGCAGATAGGGGCGGGAAGAAGACGGAACATTTGCCAAAAGAATCTGCATGTTTGAGACACCCCCTAATCCGCGCCAGGTTGGATTCAATCCTGAGCAAAGTTTAGCTTGTGGGGATTGGATTGAGATGAAAGGAGAAGACTTTATGAATCAGGGGTGGGGAATAAGGGCTCTCATAAAGCAGCAAACTGAAGGAGGCTGCAATTGCATAGGCCAGAAACCAGCTCCATCAAAGGCCCAGCTGAGTAGTTCTGCTGGCTGACAGATTTCTTTTGCCAAAGAGACAGTAGCGGGGAGACAGCACCACACCCCTTTCTGTCTGCTGCACGATCACATGCTACAGCAGTGAAATCTAGCCACTGGAGGTGGTTCTAGTGCTTCCAGAAGACAAGGGTTGGAGCTGCCTTTGTTTCTTCCGAATTCTCATTATATGAGGAGCTGTAACTGTTCAAAGAGAGGGCTTAATGAGCAAATGTTGGGAAATTCCAGCAATGCAAGAGGAGGTCTGTGGTTGGACAGCAGGGGGCCTCAGGGCCAAATCAGAGGGATTTTGGCTCCATCACTGGGAAGGCTTGAAGGTGAACATGCCCAAACTCTTCCCATCTCCTTGTGATACCATCAGTGAAGCTTCCTAGTTTTTCATTCCCCAAACCTCCCTGGCTTCCACCTACATAGTGACGCCTCAAGCGTAGGGAGGATCACTCAAAAGAGGCAGATCATATTCTTTGATAAGGAGAGGTGTTGTGGGATTGCTTCAACTTGCCTCTAGGACAGGTAGAAGCAGCTTGCATTTTTCCATGAATAGAAACTGAGCAGAGGGATGGTCCTAGATCAAGGAAGCTTAATTTGTAGCCCTCCAGATGTTGCTGGATTGCAACTCCCATCACCCCTGGCCATTTGCCAAGCTGGCTGGGAGTTGCCGTCCAGCATCTGGTGGGCTGTTGGTTGCCCCCACAAGATGATCTCCACAGTTGTGAACACATGGCCATGTGCTGTGGCTCCATTGTGCTCCCACCACTGGTTTTTGAATCCCTGTACACACAATGACACCCACAACGTAGAGTAGCTTCCTGTGAAATACTGTGGCTTGGTGTGTTCCCCACTCCAAAACCAGCTTCAACCCAATTTGAAAACGTAAACCTAATCCATTGGACAGAGGCAGTCCCACCCCCCTTGCAAGGGTGCCAATTTGAGTAAAATATGGTGGGGGGGCAGGTAGGCCCTGCCCCACATAATCACAACTTGCGGTGCACACACACCATTTGAATTGCAATGCCCATCAATGGGGGGAGGCTGGCACCCTCAAATACTTTGGGGGGAGGGCTGAAGGGACCTCAGCCCCTAGGAGTTGGCTTCTATGTGTGGACAGACAACTTGGAAACAAATCCAAGTGTACTGATGCGCCTTGAAACACAGTGAGGGGAGGGAAATGACCTTGCTGAGTTTTAAGCAGGCAATGTCTACGTAGCCTAATTCTATGAGTCTGTGAAGTAACTTCTGCTATTGCAGCTTGTCTTGGGGAGGAACAAACGTCTCTTTTCATGAAAGCTAGCTTTTAAAGCAGAAAGGCCCTGTGTGCTTAATCCTTTCCCCACCGGCTTGTTTCTCCATTCCAAATCACTCCCCGGCACCTCTTCTCTCTGTGGGAAATGGCACCATTTGTCCCAGAGAGAGTGCCAGCTCTGCTATGCAGTAGGGGGTGAACCAATTTGCTTCAGGTGGCACTGAGCGCGGAGCAGCTGCCACTGTGGTTCTCTTGGCAACTCTGAAGTAAACGTGGAGACACTAAGGGCTCCTCCACATGACCTGTTTATTGAGCGTCTCTCCTGATTTGCTAGCACAAAGATTGCAGGGTATGTGTGCTTGTATGCGTTTAGATTGCATCCAGTCTTCATTGAGCATTTGAAGAGCGTAGCAGTGGATCCCTGAGACATGAGGGCTTTGCAATTAACTGTCTGCCGCCTGTTTCAGTTGGGTCATCAACCTGGGCAAAGGCCAAAATGACATCATGCTGCATTTCAACGCACGCTTCGATGCTCACGGGGACATCCGAACCATTGTCTGCAACTCCAAGATCAACGGGAAATGGGGCCAAGAACACAGGGAGACCAACTTCCCCTTCCAAGAGGGCAGCAGCGCGGAGGTGAGACTCTGATCTGCACAGGTTGTGGCAGGGGAAAGGAGGGACCGCATGTGGGTTTGAGTGGGAAGTGTCATAAGGAGAGGCGACAAAGCCGCGTTTGAAAGCGGCATGGATGGAGGACTCTGTAGTGCATGAATATGGGGTGAAGGTGCTGCTGAGGTTTGGACTGGAGGCCCAGTTCCTATGCAACTGATCCAAACTGAGGTGATGCTTCCCTGCCCACCCCCATTCCAGCTTCCTGTCTGTGCACTTAGCAGCTGAAGGAGAAGCAAACATTCAACAGGTTGAGCTGCCTTGGAATGCAGATGATAGAGATCCTCAGGCTTTTGAGGCTCTCCCAAGGCCACAACCCTTGACACCCTCCTCGTGTGCTGAATGTTTCCTCAAATGCTGGCATTGCCTTTTCCTTGCCTGGATGGGTGCTAGGGACAGGTGTGTTAAGTGTGTGCATAGTAACTAGCCTGCTGTCCACAGGTGACATTTACCTGTTTTGTGTCACCTGTTTGGCCCCACCCAACACTGGCCTGTGGCCCCCAGACAGTTGCCCAGGAAGGAAAACGGCCCTCAGTGTGTGGGGGGGGAACAGGATCCCAATCCTGTTAGTATGGAAAGGGAACACTACCTGCTGGACTCCTGCCTCTTCTGCTGTTCTAAAAAGGCCCAGGAATTCTGTCAAAAGCCAGCAAGCCCAGGATAGATGTGCATCTTCCCCTAGCAGCCATAACTCCAGTCCAGTCGCTTGATAACTAGAATCATAGAAGAGTTGGAAGGGAACACAAGGATCATCTAGTCCAACCCCCCCCAAAAAAACAACAACAATGCAGGGATATTTTGCCCACCGTGTGGCTCGAACACATGACCCTGTGATTTAAGAGTCTCATGCTCTACCAAGTGAGCTATCCCTCCCAGCAGTTGGGATAACTGATGGTTGGTGCTCTTCTCATGCTGAACCCCCCCTTTTTTTTCCTCCTTCAGGTGCTCTTTGCTCATGACAAAAACGAGGTGACCATCACATTGCCTGGCAACCATCAGTTCAAGATCCCCAACAGCGCTCACTTGGAAGGCATTGAATATGTCTGCGTAGAAGGCGACTTTAACTTCAAAGGCATATCTCTCGGTTAAGCCTCTCCCGGTCTTGTCTTGCTCACCTCTCCTGCGTAATAAGGCAGCAAAATAAACACAGCTGAATTCTGGTGTAAACTGGTGGTGTGTCTTTCTGAGTCTTTGCCACATGGTTCTTCCAGGGCCATCATCGCCATGGAGACAGATGGTGTTTGTGGTCAGTAGTAGTAGATACTTGTGGAATTGGGGGGGGGTGGGGACTAAGAGCCAACACTTCTGACACATCTAACCACAATTCTGAATTTTTTTAAAAAAAATAATATGCAGGTGCACATTTCATTTCTTTATTTTATTGTTTTAATGTGGCCTGCGTCCAGTAACCATAGAGAGGGGCAAGGAGTTAAGCAGAACACTGAAGTCTGATCTCTCTAGCAACTGGAAGCAGTGGGGTAGGGTGGAATGGGACACCATCCCTCCAACCTAAGTCTGCACACAGCATCATCTGCCTGTCTTCTTATAACAAGTCCAAGGAGTGGCCATGCCTGGTATCTTCCTCCTCCTTAGTCTCCATGTTGCCCTTGTAGGATGATAGGGACAAAACTAGAATAGCCCATTGGCTCTAGCGCCACCTACTGCTGATCTCCCTGCTTTCTGCCCTACTGGTACCAATGGGCACCAGCCAACACTGCCTGCTTGGCCAATTGACGAGACTCCTACATCAGGTGCTGCTCACATGTTCTTAGGCACCGTTGCTGTATCATAGGTGTGCACAACACACAAATACACATAAACCTACTGGGGTCATCAAGTGCAAGAGCGGATAGTGTTTTTATTTCCCTTGGGCTGTAGCCAATGGTAGTCATACTCTGAGTAGATCCATTGGAGTTAATGACTATCTTACGTCTATTAATGTCAGTGGATCAGTTGAGAATGCATTGGTGGGAGACAATCCCTTGAATAGTTAGTTTATTTTACATATTTATATGCATGCATGCTTTTTAAGGAGAGGTCTCCTGAAGTGGCATGCAATTGTATTTTAGAACACAATAAAAGCCTCAAGAAAAATATAATAAAAAGCAGAGCATGGACCCTTCTGGAAATAAAGTGAGGAGTAAAGCCCAGTCAAATTCATTCAGATGTGTAGTGATTTGGGGTCGTGGGAGGTGGGGTGTCAGAGACCCTTTACTATTTCTGCAGAAGGGACCATGTCTCCAGCATCCTAGAACTACACAATCAGCATGAAAGGGGAACTGCTTAGCTTTTATGATGCTTAAGAGTCAGCCAGAGTGAAAGGAGGTGAGTCAGCCATGGAGGACTGGCTCCTAGGGAAGATCACCAGGGAGAGGTTGTCCTGTATGCTCCAAAGCTAAGCATTTAGGAACACCGAAAACACAGGTTCTTGAATGGTGTGCAGGATCTGTTATGCACAATGGAATGTCAAGGGAGACGCAACTTAAGTCACTCCAAAAGGAGACAGAGCATTCCGAATCATTTGCTGATACACGTACACAGAAAATAGTGGATGCAGTTGAAAGGCAACATATTGAGATAGACCATTGATCATTGCGAAACATCCCTAATTATTATTAATGTATTGTTTTAAGATTATTGTATAATCTTGGAAGGAGTGTGGCTGTCAGAGGGCGTGGCTACCATGAAGGGACTCTGCACTCTTGAATTCCCCACTGCATTGCTGAATTCATCATACACACCATACACTTAAAGCACATGACTTCCCCCAACAAATCCTGGAACTGGAGTTTACCCCTTGCAAAACTACAATTCCCAGCACGCTGAGCAAAGTTCCACGGGGAACTTTTGTGTTTTAAATGTATAGGATGTTTGCAGCCTCAGAATACGCAAATGACTGCAGACAATGCAGTCTTTGGTGCAGTAGTTAAGAGCAGTGGACTCGTAATCTGGTGAACCGTGTTCGCTTCCCTGCTCCTCCACATGCAGCTGCCGGGTGACCTGGGCTAGTCACACTTCTTTGAAGTCTCTCAGCCTCACTCACCTCATAGAGTGTTTGTTGTGGGGGAGGAAGGGAAAGGAGATTGTTAGCCACTTTGAGACTCCTTAGGCTAGTGATAAAGCGGGGTATCAAATCCAAACTACTTCTTCTTCTTCTTCTTCTTCTTCTTCTTCTTCTTCTTCTTCTTCTTCTTCTTCTTCTTCTGCTACACAGGCACCCTGAGGGAGGAAGTTCTGAAGTCTGGGCACCATGACAGAAAAGGCCCTGCCCCTATGCACCACAGAGACCTCCTCCACAGATCTCAAAGGGCAAGCAGAATCATTTTGGAGGGGAATGCGGCCGGTGGTGCTTGCCCTGCCACTGTGCTGCTGAGCTTAGAAAAGGCATGCCAGACAAAACCACATCCTCTGCACAACCGTTACAGCAGGGGTGTTGCTTGCCAAACCACAAAAAGTCAGGGTTTTTGTTTTATTTTAAAAAGCTGGCATTGTTGCACCAGAGTGGCAGACCTCTTTAATCCATTCTGATTTCAGGAACCTACAAGTTGTGAGTCCCTCTCACAAAACAGTGACAGTCTGCAGCTGAGACAGTTGCAAAGGATTCTGCTGTTCTTCATTCAGCAGGATTTTACTGACGACTATTCTTAATGTTTATAAATCACTAAAAACTTATTAACTCCTGTATGTAGATTGATCTGGTGCAACAAGCACTTATATGTGTGCAGTAGAAAAAACTCACCTTGCTGTGGATCAACTACGTACCAACTTTTTAAAGGCCTTGTTATATTCTACAAACTACTCCATTAGTCACAGGAAAATGTGACCTCCCAACCCTTCTCTCCCCACATATTTTCCTGCCTTCTGAAGTTCTCCTGCTATGAGGTATGTTACAGCCACATAAGACATTCCTTCTTTGGCTGCTGCTAAGCTGGTCTCATGCCATGCCAATATTTCACAGATGAAACTAGAGACATTTGTGTATTTGAAACATCTATTCTTGCACCAAAGATTATCACTGGAGTCCTTCCTCCCCACTCTCACTTAACATTGTTGCTGAAATCTCTTTTCTGCCTCATGTACGCTGCCTTCATTTAGCCCTCAATAATTTGTCCTACACTGCCTACTAAAGCTGCTTGTATTAGCAAATGGATCACAATACATGCTTATTTGGGGGTGGGGTGGAGAACAGAATGTTTGTTGCTACTATTATTAAAGCATCCTCCGTATAAATTAACTGAAGAATCAAAGGAGAGGTCCCTGTCCTCACAGGGCTTACAGTCTAGCTGTCAACACAAGGAAGGCAACAGATGAAGGAGAGAGAAATGAAAACAGGAGCCAACAGGGGGAGGATATGTGATTACTGCAGCTACGGATCTGGCCATACTTATTACAGGACAGCTGCAACGCAAAGATTTCCAAATGGCATTCACTGTCTCGATTGGGAGCTATAGGTAGGAATGGGGAGAAATTCAGTTCAGTTCACATTTAAAGGCAAACCTACCCAATTTGAAATTTCTGAAACAACACAAACATCGAGACACAGCCAACCTTGGAAATTTACACTGCTTCAAATCTTGCAAGGCACTTCTCCAGCCATATCGTATGCACTGGGGTAAAGTGTGCATAAAAATACATATACAGTGGTACCTCGGGTTACATACACTTCAGGTTACAGACTCCGCTAACCCAGAAATAGTACCTCGGGTTAAGAACATTGCTTCAGAATGAGAACAGAAATGGTGCTCCGGCGGCGCGGCAGCAGCAGGAGGGCCCATTAGCTAAAGTGGTGCTTCAGGTTAAGAACAGTTTCAGCTTAAGAACGGACCTCCGGAATGAATTAAGTACTTAACCTGAGGTACCACTGTATTAGTGAAAATAACATACAAAACTGTACATTAGGGAAAACTGATCTGCAGAAAAGAAGAAGGTTAAACAGAATTGAATAGAAAAATTAGAAGCCAGGCCAAATAGCAGCTATAGGTTGGGTCAGTGTGGTTTGGGGGAAATGGCCTAGTGCGCCAAATCTGCCCCATGGGACAGAAGTTTCCTACCTCTGGTATACACTATGGCCCAGTTACAACACAACACTAAGCCAAACGACGGTTTAGTGTGAACAAGCAAACATGCAGGTTCCCAGAGCGAAGTCTGCAGTCACTGCTTCCCACCTTGCTGCTGCTGCTCTCCAAGGCTAAGCCCAGCTGTGCAGGCAGAGGCAGAGGCATCCTTGGGGTAGATTATTGGTAGCCACCCTTTGCCTCCTTTATCCAAGCCCTCCTCCCTCTGCCACAGACACATGTTCTGCTTGGGGCATTTCATGTGTTTTCTTCTTGAAGAAAGCATGCCTCCTGTGTGGCCTTTCTCCGCCCTGAGCAGCCATGTACTTGCGGTAATTCCTGCTGAGCAAGGTATACAGGAAAGGGTTGGCGCAGCTGTTGCCATAGGTCAAGCAGGTAACGCCAAAGTTGAGGTAAGCCTGGGCGGTCGGCCCAATCTCCAAGTCCTCTGGCCAGTACAGCTTGGTGAGTTGCCAGGCCCAGAACGGTACGAAACAGGCCCAGTAGGCTACGATGATGCTGAAGATCCTGGGAAACAGCTTCTGTTTCAGGGCCCTGCTCGCCACAGGCGACCACATGACTTTTGTGGAAGCCCAATAGGCCTGCACAAGCCGGGAGTACACAACCCCCAGGACCAAACCAGGCCCGAGGACACTCGTGCCAAACAAAACCGTGAGGTACACTTGGAAAGCACCAGGCGTCCACGTGGGGAAGCAGATGAGCTTTCCGCTCCTGCCCTCCCGCTGCTGGATCATGACCATCATGGGCACCGTAAGCAAAGACGAGACGAGCCACACGGCAACGCAAGCAAGCCTGCGGTAGCTGTTTCCGGCCTGCCTGGCCCTTAGTGGTCTAGTCACGGCCCAATAACGCTCCACGCTCATGGCCGTCAGCAGGAATATGCTGGCGTGCATCGTCAGCAGGTCCAAGCTGAGCAGGAACCGGCAGCCCACGTCCCCAAAGAACCAGTCCTGGGCGAAATATGTGCACACCACAAAGGGGATGGTGGAAAGGTAGAGCAGATCGGCTAAGGCCAGGTTGACCACGTAGATGCGCAAAGAACCCGCCGAGCGAACAGACATGCCACCAAATGCTACCACCAGCGTATAGATATTGCCCGTTGTCCCAAAGAGACACATGAGGAGGAGGACTGCGCCCAAGGCCCTGGTGACAGGACTTTCTTCTCCACGCTCAGCGTCATAGGAGAAATTGCCCAAGGAAGCTTCTTCAATGAGCTCCGTCGTCATTGGCTAGCTGAGGCACTCTGGTTCTAAGAGGAACTACCAACCACACACAGTGTGTTTTTGATAGCCTTGGCTGGGCAGGGAGGCAAAGGATGATGGGAAGAAACTAAAATCACTTAGGTGTGGGTGGGTGTGAGCCTCATAGGGAATTATGTAGGCTATTGGGATGGATGTCCTCATTGCATCCCATGCTCATCTTACCATTCTTGAAGGCACATCCGTTCCACGCTTACAGATTTGACGGCATGGCATCCTCTTGCTGCTTTCTGTTGCTGCAGAGTTCTCATACTCTCTCCAGCCGGCCCTCCACGACTTCTGTCATCAAGCATTTGTTGACACAAATAAAACTAGCCCCACGGCAACCAAGATGCTTTCTTCCTCGTCTTCTTCTCCCCAAGAGATGCAGGGCAGTTGTGCTTTCCCAACGGCAGCCCCCCTCAAAAACATCATTCGCGCTGAGTGGCGGAGCATCTCTGACTCATGGCTTCGCACTCAAGTGCAAACACACTCAGCAATAGCTAATGGCACTGTAGTGCGACCACCCAGCAGATTGCAGAATTCTTTTCTCTTCAACATTCCCGTTTCTGTCTGTATTTCCTTTGGGGTTTTTATTTTTAACCTTGTCTCTGCTTGCTTCCTTTCTCTGCCCTCAACCCCGTAAAGAGAGGAATGGAAGGTCCTGAATTAATACAGCCGTGGTTAAGGAACTGGATCAAATAGGGACTGGGAAAGAGAACAATTCTCTGAGATAAGTTCCTTTTAAAAATATTTTTGGGAAGCAGAGCAATGAACATGCTGCAGAGGGGTAGCTGCATTCAGTGCAAATATCTGCCTGTTGCAGTAGAAACCACACACAAGGATGTAATCATAGCAGGATGGCGCATGGATGGTGCACAGCCAGCTGCATTTAACATGTATCAAGTCAACTAAGCCTGGCAGTCAAAAACCCAAAGGACAGCATCTCATTTTTAATTTTACTTTTAGGATCACAGAGTTACAATTCTGAACAACCCTTGACAAACTACAGTGCCCAGGACTCTTTGGAGTAAGAATTTCAAATGGGCTTTAAAGATTAAGCACATACACAGCTTTATAAAAGCTGTTTACAACATTAATAGGTCCTCAAATGTTATTGTTATTTTTTTGTTTTTAATGAAAGACCAACACAGCTGCTTGCTTGTAGTTTTGTTTTAAACATTCTGGATATTACCTTCCCCCTGCAAATTTCCCTATCTTGATCAAAATCAGGACATTTCTCAATTCTACGCAACAGGCATGCAGCAGGGGTGGGCAACCTATCTTAGCCCTTTATCTGACCCTTTTTGACCACTGTCCAAGGACCACATACCAGTGGCAGGCAAGGCCAGAAGCAAAAGTGGGTGGCCCAATGAATGTACATTTCATCTTTGACCTCTAGGATAGTTTAACACAAACCCTTCTCCATCCTCTGTCCAGATAGGCTTGCGGCATTGTCAGAGTTCAAGAGCACATTCCGGTCAGACAAAAACTTTCAGGGTGTGGAGGGAGGCCAGTGCAGGGAATGGCCAAGGGAGCCTTTTGAGGTGACCAGACTTGAGAGGCCTGGAAGGTTGCATTTGTTCCTGGACCCTGAGATTCCCCACAGCATAAAAATGACAAAACTCTATCCTGTTGGCCGTTGCTTACCAGCAATGTGTAAGGAGGCATGCACATGCTTGCAGTGAGGGTTTTTGGTTGCATGTCATGGCTTGGAACAATACCCTTAGTTTATGCCATGTAGTCAGCAGTAATGCTAATGCCAGGGATCTCAGATAGCACTAAGTGGAATTCTCTAGCCAGCCATTTCCCCTCCTCTTAAGCTCCACAAACGTAGTTATGGGGAAATCCAGCTGCAAACAGCTGCCTTGGCAATTTGGTGCTAGATGAGCCATTCCATCAGCCCAGCTTGATCGGCCGAGAGGAAAGCATGACTGCAAAGGGTTTGGCAGCATAACCGATTGTTTCAGTGCTCTTTCTGGAGTCAGTTTAATAAAATAATACTCCTACAAACATTTCCAGCATTCCTACTGAGCCACTCAGAACTCATCTTCTTGAACCCAAAACACACACACAACATCCTTGCTCACATGCAACCTGATACATCTCTAGTCATTTTCTGCAAGGCATTTCATGAAACAGGAAAAAAAAATCTATCCCCCACTTCTGGCAATGCAGACTTTAACATTTCAGTGGTGCCGAGTGCAATGCCAAAATTTGGTGCCCCTGCTTCCATCCATTGCTCGTCATTATTGCAGAAATCCCTGTGATGCCTTCTCGGCTCGGTGCTCAATTTGGGCAAACCAGATGTGCTCCCATAAATCTGCCTCTGCTTCCAGGATAATGCCTGGTTGCAAACGTGGACTGGAGACAATTTGCAAAGCTGCCCTCCCCACTGTCATCAGCCCCTCAGGGATGTCGCAGAGGGGACAGTTGAATCCTGAAGAGGAAGAGATCAGGGAGCTGGATGACCTGGCGGAGGGTCTGAACAGGGTGAGGGAGGCAAAATGTCTGAGACAGAGGAGCGTCAGGGGAGCAGGTAGCCTGGAGAAGGTTCAGGTGGGCTAAGGCTTGTGCCCTCCCTGCTCTTCAAAAGAAAGGAGTGGGAGGGAGTGTGTCACTTGTTGGATCAATGTCTCAGCTCATACTTAGCCACGCATTTGGCCTGTCATGTGATAATCAATCACATGACACAGCACACACACACTATTTGAATGGCAATGCCCATCAACTTAGGGGGGGGGGATAGCCCCCTCATATCTTTTGACCTCAGCCCCTAGGAGTTGGCTCCTATGCCTGATGGACCTTTAACCCTTGCCTTTCCTCTGCCTACATTAAATAACTGGGCAGACAGAGAAACCTGAATTCGAGTTCTTTATCTGGCAGAGAGGGCTAATTGATATAAGGAGAAGCCCATTGGATCAGAGAAGAGGGCTAAACAGGCTGGCAAGAATCCTCAAGAGCTTGTCTATAAAGAAGAGCAAGTTGTGTTGTTATAGCTATCTCCATATTCATTGTGGAAAATGAATGGAAAATAAAAGGAACAAGCCCCATTAGTTTCATTTGTGTTAGTTAGGATAACATATGTGAATTCAAATTGAAGAGTTCTGAACAACAACAAAAACATCTTTCATTTGATTATTTTTCACTCATTTCCGCTGAGATGAAGAAACAGAAACAGTCTGGAGCAGCCTATACAGGTCACAGAAAGTTGATGTGGAGAGGACAAGAGGCAGAGAGATCAATGCATCTGTCAGGTATAAAATGGGGTCTATTAAAAAGGCACACCAAAATTATCATGCCAAGTTACAAGCAGAGGAATAGGTGGTTGGTTCTCCATCAAAAATTAGGAGTACCTTGGAGGATATGCAATGATATTTTCAATGCCTTATAAAACTGATACCCTTTGACCAATCTTCCTGAAATTATTTGGCTGGTCCGATGCTTTGGGGAAATAAGTAGAAATTTCATTACATTTGAATAGAAAACACAGAAGTTACAGGCAGCGGAGTGGCATGCATGACTGGACCACCCAGAACAGCCTCAGCACTCAGGACAGCCCTCGTTTTTCTACTGGAGGCAACAATATGAACTCAAAAGACAAGCACTGCTGCAGGCTGCCAGGAACTTGAAGTCAAGAGAAAGATAGCAGGTTTATCATGGTTTTGAATAGATAGCAAAGTGGGGAAACCTGGCAGCCAGGACATCAGAATAATCAGAGAGTAAGAGACACGGGGAAGCAGCAGAAACAGGAGCAAAATAAAATACTCATCAGTTTGGTACATATACACACAGCTGTTTTGATGAGTGGTTGTTTTCTATCTTCCTGTTGAAGCCTTGAATAGACAGCAGCCAATCAGCAGCAAGCAGTAGTAAGCCACGGAGGAGGGCCCCCAAATATAGTGTGACCAACAGAAAGCAAGTCTGCCAGGCCTATGGTGGGACAGGACAAATAATGCCTCGGTTGGTCAGCTCCTGCGCTTTCCATCTGGATCCGTTGCTGATCAAAATGGCAGAAAGCTCTGCTGTCCAAATGGATCCCAACCACGAGGCACTGGAATATAGCATAGCAGCTTCTTTGAGAAAGTAGAAAAGCAGCAAGTCTCTCTCCTTCAAAGATGTTAGGGCTTCAGCTTGAAATAAGCTTCAACTGTAGGAAAACAGAGGAGGCATTAGAGCAGGGATGGACGAGTTCTGCAATTACGTATATTCTCAAACAGAATTTAGTGTTGGGCACACGGAATGCAGCTTTTGTTTTATCTCATAATTTAAGTTTCTAGTTCTCAAGGATGCAGAGCCGAGCTTTCAAGGATGTGGACAGTGCCTGGTAAAATCACAGAAGTCAGGGTGGGGTTTCCAGAGGTCAGCCACAGAAGCACCAAGAAGACCAGATTCTGGGGCACAGGTCAGAGGCCCTGCAGCCTCTGGGTTTCCTAAAACAATGTCCGCACAATAGTTGGCAGTCTCCAGCATCTTTAAAAAAAATCTTTTTACAGTTGAGGCACTGCTGCAAGCAAAGCAAACAGGTGTGGGGCAGTTTGAGCACTGGAGAGAATGGGAACAACTGTTCCGAATGCAGCAGCACACTCACTGTAAAAAGAAGAGTTAGCTGCAACAGGTAAGTTAGAAAGAAGAAGATAGAGAGGCAGGGAAGATGAATATTTGCTTCTCCAGGCCAGTTCTGGTGTAGGAGACCCCACTCCCCCAGTGCTGCTTTAAGAGCAAAAATGCTGCAATGTATGTGAGCATGTATGAATGCTGTTCATCTGAGCCTCCTGAACATGTACATGTGTTTTCTGGAGGTGGGGAGAAGAGAGCGTTGTGGTGTGATATGATATCATATGTGGTGGACTTGTAAAAGGGTATTGGGAAATGATATATAATGAATTGGAAAAAAATGTTTTAAAAGTACCTTTCCAAACCCCCCCCCAAAACAACAGAGTCCTTTTTGTTGGTGATAATTCAGAGGGAAATTCCCAGGTGTCAAAAAAAACTATTTATGTATGCTACTACTGCGGCCCATGTTTTGTTAGCCCAGGAATGGAAAACGAGCAAAGTCCCAACTAAAGAAGAATGGCAACTTAAACTGATAGAATAAGCGCAGCTTGCAGATTTAAAATATAGAATAAGAGAACAAGAAGAATGTACATTTAAATGTACTGGAAAATGTTTACTGAATATATGGGTGAAAATTGTGTTCATTTAAAAATGCTGGTAGCATTAAGATAAATTCAACAGTGTAAATAAGTTTTGATGGATGTAACAATGGATTCCTGAGTGGTTTCGTTCATGTGAAACATGCAGGGATGTATGGTATGCAAAATGGACCACGGAAAGAGAAGAAAGGAAGTCATTGATTCAAGGATGTTTAAATGAATATTTTGAAATGTAAATTAGAAATATATATATATATGAATGACAGCACTTTACTTCTCAATATAGATCCCTGCCACACACACCCCTCAGACCCAAGTGCCCAAGAAGAAAGCCTTTCTGGCACTTACTTGCATATTCCTGGGGTGTCATGGGCTGCTCTATAACGTGCCTGAAGGCTGCAATCCACTCTTGCTGCTCCCTCTCAGTCTCACAGGTGAAGAGGTACTCCCGGTCAGGTGTGATAATGGTGATGCCGTACGGCCAGGTGAAGGTGCCCTGCGTGCCGGTTGGCAGCCCTTGCCGGACACCATATCCATGCCCATCACTACCTATGAACACTTCACCTTTCGCAAAAGCATCCTGCAAGGTAGGAGAGAAATAGGAGACATGCCTTAGGATTCCGGTCCATGTTAATCGACCGAGAGCACACGCTGGACCAGGATGAAAACTCTGATGGGGTCGTCAACCAGAGGCTTTTTTATTAGGAATTTTAGGCACAGATATACCAAAGGAGCAGAAATGATTATTTATGTATGTAATGACAGCAGCGCGGATACTACAGGCCCAGAGGTGGAAAGAAGACAAAGTCCTGACCAGAGATGAAAGGTTGATGAAGATGATGGACTATGCCGAAATGGCAAAATTGACTGGGAAAATCAGAAACCAGGAAGAGAAGAACTTTAAGAAGGAATGGGAAAAATTTACAATGTATTTAAGAGAACACTGTAAGAAACTAAAAACTTTGGCAGGATTTGAGGGGTGCTTGTAATGTACTAAAAATTACGGTAAAAATGGATTATTTAAGAAAAATAGAAAAAATAAGAGAAGCAGCTGAAAAAAAATTGATAGTGGTAACTATGGAAGGGTGGAGGGGAGTCGAAGGATTCAGGGAATCATAAATGATGGTGTTGGTGTTTAATGTTTGAATTTAAATTTGCAATGTAAAACTTAATAAAAAAGATTTGGGGTGGGGAGAAAACTCTGATGGGGTCATCAAAACAGTTTCCCAGGGTGTGTGGCGGCACAATAGGGAGGGAGTAAGGCTTGATGATGTGCCGCTATCTTAACCCCCACCCTTTAATGCTAGAAGGAGCAGAAGCAGCTCAGACAGTTGAAGCAGCAGCCTGGGGGAGTGGACATTTTCCATCATTGTTCCCTCCATAACAGGGATAAGAAACCTACGGGCCTCTAGAAGGTAATCATAGAATTGTAGAATTATGAAGTTGGAAGGGACCGCAAGGGTCGTCCAAGCCCCTGTGATGCAGGGATCTCAAATAAAGCATCCCTGACAGATGGCCTGACATGCTGTTGGGCTCCAAGTCCCATCAGCCCCAGCCAGCATGGTCAGCGGTCAGGAGTGATGGGGGCTACAGTCCAAGGAAACCTGGTTCCCCGTTCCTGCCAATGGCTCATCTATTCCAGTGTCTTGTTTTCACAATGGCCAGCCAAGTGCCTGCAGGACTTGAACACAAGACCACTCCCTCATGCCCTGTGGTTTCCAGCAGCTGATATTCAGAGGCATTACTGCCTCCAACCCTGGATGCAGAGGACAGCCATCATGGCTAGTAGCCACCGATCGCTGTCTGCTTCATGAATTTCTCCCACCCTCTCTTAAAGCCGTCCAAGTTGGGGGCCATCCTGTGGGGAATAAGTCCCACAGTTCAAGGTTTCAGGAGCTGTCTCTTTACACCTGTTTTGAGCTTCCCACTGGTCAACCCAGCTTTAACGAAAGTCTGATGGGCAGAAAGCAAGCACTAAAACTTTAGGTTACTAAATCAGCATGGCAACAGGAGCCGGTTTGATAGGCTGCAACCCTGCTCCTGTTTCAAGCAACACAAGATGGCTATTCATCTGCTGGAAGACAGTGTAACATAGTAAAGAACTGAGAGCAGAGTGAGGTGGGAGGGGATAAGGGGCAATCCGATTGCTGGCTTACCATAGGATCCTTGAAGTACATCAGCCTTCGGTGGTCCAGAGTGAACCAGCGCTTCTTGAAAGACTCCTTTTGCTGCAGAAGAACCAGAGATGTTTACAAGAGGAGGGAGCCCTCTCCTGGTCAGTTCTTTGAAAGTGGCTTTAGAAGTGCATTCAATTCTTATATCACATCTGCCCTAGTAGCACAGAGTTAAGAGAGCCCACCCAGACGGTTGTTTATTGCAGGTATTCTACAACAAGTTCTTAACACAATAATAATGCATTAGTACAGTGGTACCTCGGGTTAAGTACTTAATTTGTTCCAGAGGTCCATTCTTAACCTGAAACTGTTCTTAACCTGAAGCACTACTTTAGCTAATGGGGCCTCCTGCTGCCGCCGCGCTGCCGGAGCACAATTTCTGTTCTCATCCTGAAGCAAAGTTCTTAACCCGAGGTACTATTTCTGGCTTAGCGGAGTCTGTAACCTGAAGCGTCTGTAACCTGAAGCGTATGTAACCCGAGGTACCACTGTCGTGGATTTTTTTCCTACTTTAATTTGTTCTACAGTGCTTCCCCAGTGCTACCACATTAACGCTGTCTGGGGAGTGGGGGGGGAGGGTGTTAGAGGATACCAAAGCAGGACAAAAATAAACCAGAACACTTGTGGTATAAAACATTATGGGATATGTACTGATTGGAAGTGAAGCAGTGTGACTGCCTCAACCTTAATCTCGCAAGATGCCTTCTTGCTGTTTTCATTTTGCTGGTAGTTTACTCTTGGTTAAACCTCGGGCAGGGGATTTTAAAAACAACAACAACAAAAAAAAATATTGTCACCTTGCAATAGCTTCTGAGATGAACAGAGATTTAAAATAAATATAGAAACCTAAATAAATAAATTGATATACCCTGGGCCCAGTCTTTTCCATGTAGCCTTCTTTCAGGAAATTCCGAGTCAGCCGGCTTTTGAGCTGCAACAGAAGGACAGCTTTTGACTTATCAGAAATGGCTGGGAAGACACTCAAACACTATGCATAATCAAAGGTTTGGATAGACTGAGACTGGAAATGGGGTGGGGTAGGGTAGGGGGGAAACGTCTTTTTACCCAAGGTATCAAAACAACTACAGTGGTACCCCGCAAGACGAATGCCTCGCAAGACGGAAAACCCGCAAGACGAAAGGGTTTTCTGTTTTGGAGGCGCTTCGCAAGACGAATTTCCCTATGGGCTTGCATCGCAAGACGAAAGCCCATAGGGAAATGCTGGCGGTCGGGAGCAAAGACTTTCGCCCACAGCCGGCCTTCAGAAGAGGACCTCTTCTGAAGGCCGGCGGGGGGCAAAAGTCTTTGCTCCCCCCCCCCGCCTGCCTTCCCCCGCCTGCCCGGGGCGATCTTAAAATGCTGGCGGGCGGGAGCGATGCGTTCGCTGCCGACCCCCAGCATTTTAAAATCTCCAAGGGACAGCAGAGAAGTCTCTGTCCCGGGGAGATTTTAAAATGCTGGGGGTCGGGAGCGAAGCGTTAGCTGCTGACCCCCAGCATTTTAAAATCTCCCCCTGTCCCGGGGAGATTTTAAAATGCTGGGGGTCGGGAGCGAAGCGCTGCCGACTCCCAGCATTTTAAAATCTCCCCGTGTCCCGGGGAGGTTTTAAAATGCTGGGGGTCGGGAGCGAAGCGCTGCCGACCCCCTGCATTTTAAAATCTCCCCGTGTCCCGGGAAGGTTTTAAAATGCTGGGGGTCGGCAGCCCGACCCCCAGCATTTTAAAACGCTGTTCCGAAGGGGGGGGTGGGGACACCTGTCCCAGCCGCCCCACTTCGGAAAGCTGTTCCGAAGTGGGGCGGGGACACCTGCCCCAGCCGCCCCACTTCGGAAAGCTGTTCCGAAGTGGGGCGGGGACACCTGCCCCAGCCGCCCCACTTCGGAAAGCTGTTCCGAAGCGGGGGGGGCGGGGACATCTGCCCCAGCCGCCCCACTTCGGAAAGCTGTTCCGAAGGGGGGAGGGGGGCGGGGACACCTGCCCCAGCCGCCCCACTTCGGAAAGCTGTTCCGAAGCGGGGAGGGGGGGCGGGGACATCTGCCCCAGCCGCCCCACTTCGGAAAGCTGTTCCGAAGCGGGGAGGGGGGGCGGGGACACCTTCTGAAGGCGGGCAGGGGGCGAAAGTCTTTGTCCCCCCTGCCTGCCTTCCCAGGGGCTTTTAAATCGCCCCGGACAGCGGAGAAGTCCTCCGCTGTCCGGGGCGATTTTAAAATGCCGCCCGCCAGCATTTTAAGATCGCCCCCGGACAGCGGAGAAGTCCTCCGCTGTCCCAGGGTTTTTTAAAATGCCGGGGGTGGGAAGAAAAGCCCTTGTCCCCACCCCCCCAGCCTTCAGAAGAGGTCCGGGGACAGACTGTCCCCGGACCTGGTCTGAAGGCGGTTTCCCTAGGAACGCATTAATTGATTTTCAATGCATTCCTATGGGAAACCGTGCATCGCAAGACGAAAAAAACCGCAAGACGAAGAGACTTGCGGAACGAATTAATTTCGTCTTGCGAGGCACCACTGTAGTTCTGTCCAGCCAAACCCAAACATGCCAGCTCCACAGACACCCCCCCACACACACACAAAATGCCTAATGCTGGTCCAACCAAACACACACACTCTACCCAATTTCACTTTGAGTCAAAGATGGCCAAAGAGCTGAAAGTAATTAGATTTGCAATGACACTAGGAAGCCAGTTAGTCTGTAGTGCAGCCTTGTAAGCAGGCTATGCAGAAGGAATGCAAGCACATGCCAGAAATTTAGGTTTGTGCAGTCAAAGTAGATTCAAGTGCTCTGTTGCCCCAGCACAAGAGATCCACTTTTAAAGAAATCAAACCAACTTTAGAAAGATAATGCAGCTAATAAATCGAATGCACTGAAAAGTGTGGGATAAACAAGTGGTTGACAAGGCTATGTGTAAACACCAAACAAACACCTGACATGACAATCAGGATGAATGCTGCTGTCACATAACTTTCCTGCAAAGAAATCAAAATGAATAAAGACCAGCCATAGTCTAATCTCTGCACAAACTTTGTGCAAGAAAATCAGGATGAATGTTGGATAAACAGGTTGCCTGAAGGAGCCCAATCTTGTTCCATGACTTCCTTACCTCTTGATCACTGGCAACAGGAAAGGCCACCTTCAAATAGTGGAATTGTACTGCGCGGATTGCATTGAACCAGTCCACAATTTCCTAGATAGAGGAATGGCACACAAAAGAACAATGAACCGGAAGCTTGACCCTAAGTATGTCTAGGTAAAGGTAAAGGGACCCCTGACCATTAGGTCCAGTAGTGACCGACTCTGAGGTTGCGACGCTCATCTCGCTTTATTGGCCAAGGGAGCTGGCGTGCAGCTTCCGGGTCATGCGGCAAGCATGACTAAGCCACTTCCGGCAAACCAGAGCAGCACACGGAAACACCGTTTACCTTCCCACCAGAGCGGTACCTATTTATCTTACTTGCACTTTGACATGCTTTCGAACTGCTAGGTTGGCAGGAGCAGGGACAGAGCAACGGGAGCTCACCCCGTCGCAGGGATTCGAACTGCCAACCTTCTGATCAGCAAGTCCTAGGCTCTGTGGTTTAACCCACAGCGCCACCTGCATCCCTCAGGTCTACTCAGAAGCAAATCTTGTTGGTTTCTAAGAAACCTGTTGGACACGGCTAAAAGCCAATCTAGACCAGCTTCCGGCTCTTATAGCGGCCAACCCATGGGAAGCCCACCTGCAGAATGTAAATGCAACAGCACTCTCTCCACTTGTGATCCCCAGCAGCTGGTATTTAGAGGCACACTGCCTCCGACAATGTAGGCAGAACTTAGCCATTGTGACAAGTAAACACTGATAGCCTTATCCTCCATGAATTTGTCTAATCCCCTATGCCTATGGAACTTTCTTCCTGGTAAGTTTGCAGCATGCGTCTGAGGAACCCAAAGTCCAATTGAAGAAAGTTCCTGGGCAGCATCAGTGAACATCTCCCACAGCTAGAATTCATAATAATCCAAACAGCATCCTGCCCCACGATGGTTTCCTACCATGGCCATATTTCCTAGCAGTGCTAAGGACTTGTATTTAATTTGCAGCTGTTGCAAGCAATGCTTGTTCTCCTTATCTAGAAGCAATGCTTCTAGATAAGCAATGCTTGTTCTCCTTCTGATAGAAGACGCTGACTCTGTCAAATCCAGGCTTTCTCCACCATTTCCTACAGCATGCCACACCATACTGCTAGCCACGGCCCCTGTACCTTCCCATCCTGATGATAAAGGAAGATGTTGCGAGTCTTGTTCTCTTTCAGGTAGGTGATCTGCAGGCCATTTGGGTTCCCTGTCTTCTCTGGCTGGAACGTGGCATTGATAGTGTCAATTTTAACAACTACTTTTGGTTCTTTGGCCTGAAAAGAAAATAATGTTGGTATTTATACAACACCACTGGTGCACAAGGGATCTTGCAGAGCTTCATAAGCAAAAATAAAAACAGGCAGGCCCTTAACAGTTTAAAGTGTGAAGAGATGGGAGATGACGGTAAAATTCTGCAGCATCCTTCTGAAGACTGTAGGAAAGGTTGCCCATTCCGGGTTGGGACGCACTCACACAAGTAGATTGCTACTCACATCCTGTTTGACAAAATACTTGAGACAGCCCTCTCTCTCGGACAGCAGAAACCTGCGCGGAAGATACTGCCCGTTGTCTCTGCCTCGCTTCCACAGAATCCCTTCCTTCAATCCTAGGAGGAAAATGCAAGCTGGAGATTACATGCCCTGGCCAGAATGGAAACATCAGACAGCACAAGACACACAGGAAGCTGCCATGTATCAAGGTTGCCTACAGACTGCCAGTATGTTGTGGGAGAAATTCCAGCGTATACTGGGAATTTAGGTTCATGCAACTGAAGTGGATTAAAGTGCCCTGTCATCCTAACGCAAAAAATCCACTTAAACACACACACACACACACACAGAGAGAGAGAGAGAGAGAGAGAGAGAGAGAGAGAGAAGAGAGACTTTTTGCAGTTAGGAAAGCAATGGGGGAATGCACTGAAAAGTGTGGAATGAACAAATGATTAAGGGGAAGAAGCAAGCACGGGAGGATGAATGCTCAGTCACATAACCTCCTTGCAAGCAAATCACAACAAATACTCAATAAAGACCAGACATTGCCTAACCTCTGCATAGGCTTTATGCAAGCAAATAAGAATTAATGCTCAATGAAAAGGTTGTCTGGAAGAGGTCTGTGTAGTTGCTCCTGCACCTCACTTACCTAGTGCATTTGTAAACAGATTACACCAGGCTATTTGTCCATCTAGCCCAATATTCTCTGTTTTGGTTGGCAGCAGTCATTCAGGGTCTCCCTCATCTTTTAATTGGAAATCTCAAGAGGACTGAACCTGGGGTCTTCTGCATGCAATAGGGGGGGCTCTGCCAATAAGCTATGGCCCCTGCACACTGACCATTGAGGTTTCTGTACAGCAGATACATACTGCCCTACAGAGACCAACCCCCTCCATCATTCTACTCCAAAAGTCTACATATTTTAGCACAGTGCATTCTCCTCCATGCCGTCAGGGTGAGAGACAACCTAGATGAGAGATGACCGAGGAATTATTTGATCTGTGGTTATTAAGGACTAGCTACTTAAGTTCTAGCTTCCACTTTTCCTCTGACCGTTCCTTGTGTCTTTTTACAGCTGTGTGACAGCAACAATTCAGCAGGTAGCACTTTCCTCCAACGCTGCTGGAAAAAGCATAGTTGAATTTCTGAAGTCTTCTTTTCTTTTCTTTTTTGGAGGGGAGGCTTTGCAATAAGAAAAAGTAGCAGCCATGCTGTAAGTACTTCAGTTCTAAAAGGGTGGAAGGTGGACCTGAAAACTGCTCTGCCTGCCCCCACTGAGGAAGCATTCACACACAGAGATGGTCTTCCACTCTGTTTTCACACCCTTTGCTACATACAGGCCACAAGCACTGAATTATAATTCTTCCTGTTTCACAGGTAAACCATTTCCTCTGGTGAGCAGCCCTGATTATGTTATTTCATGACCCACCCTGGGAGTTTGAAGGAGGGAAAACAATGTGCCAAATTGTCTTCTTCTTTAAAACTCTTGGAGTCTGCACCTGGCATCCCGGGGCAGTCACCAGAACCCCAGGATCTTGACAGGCCCCCCTAAAAACACCTGTCACAAGCAGGGCCGGATTAGGTTTGATGAGGCCCTAAACTACTGGAGGTAATTTTGCCCTTTATATGTCCAGCTGTCCTGTCAACAACAAATCATCGCTGTTTTTTGTGTTGAACGTATGCTATATGGTAATTTATGGACCTAATAGGTATCTAAAGCCATTTGCACATATTGCCATGCAACCAGTCCATGCAGAATGTAGGCATCCTATATATAGAAATGAGCAATCCAGTGATATTTTAGGGAGCAGGCTAGCAGGCCGGGCCCATTACTTACATCATAGGAGCCTACACAACACAAAACACTGTTGCTGTATGTACACTGGTTTTATTTTATTTGTTTTTTATCTTATATTTTGAAAATGTCAGGTTTTTTCCCCTTTAAATTTTTTTGGGGCCCCCAAGAGAGTGGGGCCCTAAGCTATAGCTTGTTTAGCTTATATGTAAATCTGGCACTGGTCACAAGGCTGCTAGCTTTTCAGAGGGATTGATTCCACTGCAGAAGGATTACCATTGGAATATGGTGGATGTTTTCCTGGCTCCGTGAATTCTTTCCGTTCGTATTTGGCTCGTACCCACTGCTCTCTCAGGACTCTGTGGAAGTCGAGAGAGATGATATGGTGACAGGTAAGAGGAATTTCGCAATGCACAACCCTTTCTCCCTTCCCAGATGGAGATTCGGCACTTACTGGCAATCAGTGTGGACTGGGCGGTAATAGTACATAGGAACATGGGCCTCATACGTTGCCTTGGCCACTGCATTCCCATGCTGCATCAAAAACTAAAAAGGGGAAGATGCACAAGTTAATGCTCATACCCTTTTCATGTAAGCCAGCCTTCCCCAACCTGGTGCCCTCCACATGTTTTGGACTCCAACTCCCATCAGCCCCAGCTAGCCGGGATCAGCTTGCAGAGATGCTCTCCTGGGTAGTACTACTTTTACGTACCACCCCATAAATTTTCAAAAGCCTTGCCACCTACAACTCTGCGCAATATCCATTGTCTGTACAGCTAACTGTCTCCCAAAATCAGAACACAATGAAATGGGGAGCTTAGGCTGAAATCACATTCTGGGATTCTGTTATCAATGGAATCAGGGTCATTTTACACATTGCAAAGCTGTCCTCCACTATACGCTAGAGTGGGTTGGTGGGGAGGAGAAAACCTCCAGGCTGAATGCCAGTCTTGGGCTGCCGAAGGGTCCAAGTTGGCCTGCAAGGCAATTTCTCCAAACCACATCCACCTGGCAATCATCTGATGTTACTGGGTGATATCAGCAGATGGGCAGGGTTCATTCCTGCTGGGTGCAGTTTTCCCAGTGTATTCCAAGCCGGAAACATACTGACAAAGGAGACCCCTGCAGCCAGCAGGACTGAATTCTCCACTGACCCCTCCAGCCTGTACCCCACACAGGTCAACTTGGACAGCAGTCATCTAACAGGTGGACAAGCCCTGAGCTACAAAATGGCATTGAGCTGAAGCCAAAGCTTAAGAAATTGTACCAAGAGGTTTGGTCACAGAAGGAAATTTCTAAACACAGTGGTCAAAAAGCTCCGTGTTGCATTTCCAACAACATATTCGGTGGAACGTGGTTTTAGTGTGGTCATCCAACTTCTCTCCAAGCAATGAAACAGACTCCAAGATTACTAAAAGTGGTGACTTAAGACTCTTGCTACGTGACTTTAAACCAGGCACTGGGATACTGGTATCACTTCATCAAGCCCATCCGACGCATTTAGAATTTGCTGAACAGTGAAATAGTTACTAAATGTATTTAAGACTCTTGTTAAAGCTGGTATCACTCGATCCAGTTCATCAATTTTGTTGAATTGTTGAACTAAATTGTTTCAATTGGATTTTGAATTAACTGATACTGTATTGAATTTTATTGTTCTATTATCGTCCTTGGTGGGTCACGCAAACCACTATTCTGAATGATGCTTTTTCTAGGGAAGGGGGAGCTGGGGATGGGTTTATGGAACCAAGAGGGCAGTGGCCTGAAATAGTTTGGGAACCACTGATTTAAAGCACATTTAAAGCATACACCCCCCTCCAAAATAATCATGGGAACTGTAGTTTACCCCATCACAAAGCTACAGTTCTCAGCAACCTGAAAAAACTACGATTTGCAAGATTATTTGGGGGGTGTTTAAAATGTATGATTTATGTGCAGCCCAATATAAAATGCTCATCCAAAAATACAGATGAAATCAACAAAAATTAAAAACAAGTACAAATAATAAAATTGCATGTCTATTAGACTGGTACCCAAATGTTTTCATTCTTGAGCATGGACCAGTCACTTTCAGGCAGTTGGCAAGCTTTGTTCTTGATCACAAAATCCTGCCACTATTAAACTCCCCGCTAATGAGATCTGTGGCGATGCCCCAGCTCACTGTTTCAGATCTGTGACAAACAATTCAAACCCTTTTGCTACACTCACAAAGCAATCCAGGCTTTGGTGGGAGGAGAGGAAGAAGCCACCTGAGTGACTCCTCATCTAACACAAATCCCTATCTTCCCTATTCCACGCTTATGCACCAGCCACATCACCATGACATTTGACCTCTACAAGGCCCCGGGGTCCCCTCCTTCCCTGACACAGCAACCTCAGGAGAACTCAACCTTTTCTCATCCTCCGTGATTACCAATCTTACATTTCTGAAGCTTGGTGCTCTCTTTTCTTTTCTTTTCTTTTCTTTTCTTTTCTTCCCTTCCCTCTTTACTCCCAGCATTCTTGAGAGAAAAGAGGGGCGAATTGTTTGCATCTCCTATGCAAATATATTATCGAGTGAGTAGCTTCTTGGGGACACAAGACTCACCTGCACCTGACCTTCATCCCAGTGGTCCATCCTTAGTGACTTGACTTTGCTGATGTCAGAGATGTTGCGATGAATCCCTGAGCAGTTTAAGCAGAGGAAGACGCCCAAAGTATAGGAGGCCCAGTCAGGGTCTAAGGGGAATAAAAGTGTATCAGTGGTTGGAGACTGGGTATTATATTTATTTAATAAACAGGTTCTAACCCACCCACCCCAAATTTCTTGAGAGGCCTTGTTTGACTAATATATAAGAGGAGTCCTGCTGGATGAGGACAAAGGCCCTTCATCAGCCTGTTCTTAGTGACCAGCCAGATGCCTGTGGTAATTCCACAAGCAGGACCTGAGCACAGGTCCACTCTCTATCCGCCATCTTGACAGCCCCAAACTCAAGGCTAGCAGCAGCCCCCAAGTGGTGGAATTCCCTCACCACAAAGATGTTTCTGTCACCTTCATCGTCAAGCTTTCTTTAAGGGTTTTGAAGATGCAGCCCTTCACCAAGCCCATTGACCCTTGAGAGGCATTCATTTTAGGCCCCACTGACTGAAATTTGTTCAAAACTGTTTATAAATGCTGTATTTCACTTCGTTGTGGCCCACCCTGGGATTTCATGTCACATGGCGGTTCGTAAAAATAACAACCCAAGGACCATTATTAGAATCCAAGAACACTTTCCAATCAGCCAGAAACACTTGAGGGGGTGAAGCCATGGGTGTGGCCTGAGAAGGGTGCAAGGGCCAAACAGAGAGGTACAGAGGGCCACATTCGGCCTCCCAGGCTTGAGGTCCCCAAACCTCTGCCATAGCACAACAAATTCACTTTTAAAACAGCAAGGAATGAACGAGTGATTAATGGAAATATATATGAATGCCCTGCGCACACTTTAGGATGAATGCTCCTTGTCACATAACATACCCGCAAACAAATCAGAACGAACACTCACCAAATACCAGATATAATCTAATCTCCATGGAAGCTTTGCGCAAGGCGTAAGTTATCTGGAGGAGCTCCAGGCTAGATAAAAACACAATGCCCAAACGTGCCAGCGCTGCTTCTCCTTCATTAATTCCCCACAACCCGCCACACCTTCCAAGGAACGGTCATTTCTTTGACTGCTTCAGACGTCCATCACATTTGCCCTCCACTTCTGCCCTGAAGCCTCAAAAATTGATTTACCGGGTTCCCCGCAATCTGCACACAAGGCATTCTCTTCTCTGCTCCACACTTCCTTGAGGCTGTTCACATTCCTGCCATCTTCTGTAGCCATCATCTCTGGAATGCCTTGGAACCCTCTGGGGCAGAGCGGAAATCTGCTTCCTTGGTACCTGTGATCACACGTCCACCTTGCACAAGAGGTAGATTTAGAGAACTTTTTGGAGGTTTTTTTCTTTTCTTTTAAAGGAGGGAGAGGCAGAGACCCAGCTGCCTCGAGTGGTAAGAAAATGCTTGCAAGGGAAAGCAGCACAGGCAGAGGTGTTAGCTGCAGGCGAGGCAGCAGCAGCCGCGGCAAAGGAGGCTGTGCCTGTGGGTATTAAGGGAAGTGCAGCTATTAAACATAAAAACCGGTTTTTCCGCATCTCACAGGGCTAAAGGCCAAGCCCGAGAAAAAGGAACTCAAGCAGCACACAAAGTGATAAAATGCAGCACAACCCACATTCGTTACTATGCCCTTGTTTGTTAAAAAGATTCTTAAGAGCACTCCTAAGCTTACACTAACACTCCCTTTGCAGCTGGTATTGGTCTTATCTAAGAGACAAGAGATTGTAGCTTGACCAAGCCCACACAACAAAGCAGTGGCAAAGGCTAGAAGTCTCCCTGCAGCAACCTTTGCCAACCTGGTGCCCCCGAGATGTTGTTGGGACTCTCAACTCCCACCAGCAATGCTATAATCTAAAAATGTTAAGCTGACAGTATTGCACGCATACAAGCCCCCTTTAAAGCTTAGGCTGCAATCCTATGCACCCTTACTTGGGAATAAGGCCCACTGGACTCTATAGATGCCCACTTAAATGTGTTGTGGAAGTGGGGATTATTGGTTTTTGTTCTTATTTTTATTATGTACCATATTTTGTGCCTTTCATATTGTAATTTTGTGTTGCAAACTGCCCTGAGATCTGTATAGGGTAGTATACAAATTTTAATAATAATAATAACAACAACAATAACAGAAATAGAAAACATCAGCTTACTGAATGAGAGGAGATGCATAGCAATACAGTGGTACCTCGGGTTAAGAACTTACCGGTAATTCGTTCCGGAGGTCCGTTCTTAACCTGAAACTGTTCTTAACCTGAAGCACCAGTTTAGCTAATGGGGCCTCCCACTGCCGCTGTGCCGCCGCTGCACGATTTCTGTTCTCATCCTGAAGCAAAGTTCTTTACCCGAGGTACTATTTCTGGGTTAGCGGAGTCTGTAACCTGAAGCGTATGTAACCCGAGGTACCACTGTACAGTGGTTGACAATTGTAGCTGATTGTTTCTTTTAGGCTGCAGTCCAGTACACAGTTACAAGTACATCCTGTTGAACCCAATGGGTCTTTCTTCTGAGTAGACATGCACAGGACTGCAGTTAACCACAGAACTAAAACCTTTCCCAGGTCAGCAGCCATGTCTTAAAAAAACAAGAAACGGGACCAATTTGTTACGGCATACAGATCCACTCCGTTAGATGCATGAAACAATTTCCAGAGGGAAAAGCTTGCCTCTTGCAACAATAAACCGGGCTAGTCTTTTATGGCGCCACCAAACTGCACTGTAACTCTTGAGAGCAGATTCTCGGTGCATTTTCCCCTTCAAGACAATTCTGGACACTATATAGTTTGCCCCTTAGAATCCTAGAATGGTAGAGTTGCAAGGGATCCCGGGGGTCATCTAGTCCAACCCCTAGCTGTGCAGGAATCTTTTAGTCAACCTATGAGGCTCAAACCCATAACCCTGAAATGAAGAGTCTCGAGCTGCTCTACCTATCAAACTACAGCGCCCAGAATTCTTTTTTCCCCAATTTTTTTATTGATTTTCCACATTTTTAGACAAACAAACAAACAAACAAACAAACAAACACAAATCATAACTAAACTTAGTCCAATATTAATATCAGCGCCCAGAATTCTTTGAAGCGGTGGGGGGGGGACGTAATTCGAATATGCCGCGTGCACACAGTCTGCATTGCTTTTTCTTTCTTTCTTTTAATGCAAGGCTTGGGGAGCGACACGCCTCCTGAAAAGGCAGCCGGGCGCCGCCAGTCGGTTGTGCTCGGTGGAGGAAGGGCCCAGCAGCAACACCCAGGCGGAAGAGGCGGCGTCGAGGCCCCGGCCCCGGAAGAAGCGCGCCTCGGCCTCCGGAGCCCAGCATGGGCCGCAAGAAGAAGCAGAAGCAGGAGTGTCGCGCGGCGGCGCTTCGCAGGGTCGTCACTTTCGACGAGGAGAACCGGCGGTGAGTGCAGGCGAAGCGGGCGGCCGGGCTGGCGGCAAGCTGCTTCTCCCTCCCCGCGCGAGGCGACGGGCGCGGCTTCCCTGCACGAGGTCTCCCATCCAGAAGTGCCTCTCGCCGCGGGAGGCAGCGGGGTTTCGCGCCCGGAGGGCAGCTGCGAACCCTCGAAAGCAAACCGCGCGAGCACTACGATCCGAGGCTCTCGTTCACACGTGCAGCGGGACGGGGATGGAGTGGAGTGTGCTTCCACGGGGCGAGGGAAACACATACATATACAGTGGTACCTTGGTTCTCAGACTTAATCCGTTCCAGAAATCCGTTCCAAAACCAAAGCATTCCCAAACTAAGGCGCGCTTTCCCATAGAAAGTAATGCAAAATGGATTAATCCATTCCAGACTTTTAAAAACAAACCCTAAAGTAGCAGAACTGTCCAGCATCACCTTAGAGACCAACTTTAATGCATGCACACAAAAGCTTATACCAAGAGCAAACTTAGTTGGTCTCTAAGGTGCTACTGAATAATTTTTAATTTTATATATATATATATTTCGACTGCATCAGACCAACACGGCTACCACCTGAACCTAAAGCAGCAATATAACATGAATTTTACTATCTAACAAGACCATTGATCCATAAAATGAAAGCAATAAACAATGTACTGCAGTCACACAATCAATTAATCTGGATTCCACACAGTCACAAAAACAAAACAAAAAAGCTGCAAAAACAAATAGCAAAAACAGACCTCAGCGTAACACTCAAATCGGAAGTGTGGCACTCAAAATGGAGCATGTTCGGCTTCCGAAAAATGTTTGCAAATTGGAACACTTATTTCCAGGTTTTTTGCAGTGTTTGAGTTCTAAGTTCTTTGACTACCAAAACATTTGAGAACCAAGGTACAGTGGTGCCTCACAAGACGAAGTTAATTCGTTCTGCGAGTTTTTTCGTCTTGCGAATTTTTCGTCTTGTGAAGCATGGTTTCGGAAAAGTTTTGGAAAAGCTTCAAAAATCACCAAAGTCTTCAAAAACCTCAAAAAAAGGCTACCACACCGCATGCTATGAGTTGCTCCTCAAAGTCAAGTCGCAACTGTTTAAGAAAAAGGAAACAAACTTGCAAGACGTTTTCATCTTGCGAAGCAAGCCCATAGGGAAATTCGTCTTGCGAAGCAACTCCAAAAACCCTTTCGTCTTGCGAGGCATTCGTCTTGCGAGGCATTCGTCTTGCGAGGTACCACTGTACCCCCTGTACACACACAACATTCCCACAAAGCAAACAAGTATAATTGTTATTATTTATTCAACTTATACACCGCCCTATACCCGGAGGTCTCAGGGCAGTTCACAACAAAATCATAACATATAAAAATCAAACCAAAAGCAGTAACCCAATACCCCACCCCCAGCCACGTTCTAAAAGGGTGTTGGGTGTCAATAAGATCAAGCAAAGGCCTGGTTAAAAAGCAACATGATTACCTGGTGCCTAAAGGTGTATAACCGGCAGATAGCTGGACTGAGTTTTATAATAAAGTCCATTCTGCCTATTTTATGTATTTACTGAATTTCTACTTCTCAGGTTCCCCAGTGTACAATATAAAACCACAAGCATACTAGAGCAACAAACAAACAAAACACTAATCCTCTCAAACAGTTTAAAAGGCCATAGGTTGTGTAATTGGCCAAAGGCCTGGGAGAAGTGGAATGTTTTCGCCTGGCGCCTAAATGTTTTTTAATGAATGTGCCAGGCAGGCCTCCCTGGGGAGAGCATTCCCCAAATGGGGAGCCACAGCAGAAAAGGCCCAATCTTGTGTTGCCACCTCCAAACCTCTTGGGGTGGAAGCATACGAAGAAGGGCCGCATACAATGATTGCAGGGTCCAGGTCAGTTCATATGGGGAGAGGTGGTCCTGAGTCGTTTCAAGGCTGTATAGGTCAAAACCAGCCCTTTGAATTGGGCCTGGAAACTAATCGGCAGCCAGTGCTGTCGACCCAGGAGCAGTGTACAGTGGTACCTCGGGTTAAGAACTTAATTCGTTCTGGAGGTCCGTTCTTAACCTGAAACCGTTCTTCACCTGAGGTACCACTTTCGCTAATGGGGCCTCCCACTGCCACCACGCGATTTCTGTTCTCATCCTGAAGCAAAGTTCTTAACCCGAGGTACTATTTCTGGGTTAGTGGAGTCTATAACCTGAAACATCAGTAACCTGAGGTACCACTGTAATATGCTCAAACCGTCTTGTCCCTGTGAATAACCACCCACCTTCAGGGGCAGCCCTACGTATAATGTGTTGCAGTAATCCAACCTAGAGGTTACCAGAGCGTAGATAACAGAAGTTAGGCTATCCCTGTCCAGATTCTAACTCCTTATTCTGCTGCATGTGTGCGCCAAACCCTATAAAAGGAGCTTAGCCCATGATGCTGATGGTTTTGTGCTGTTTGTGGCTTTATGAGGTGATTGTGATTGAGAAAGATGGCTTTTGAGCTGCTAGGGGATAGTTGTTCTTCCACTGTCTCTAACTTGCTCTTTGGTATATTTACTCTTCCCAGGGATTACTTGACAGGGTTCCACAAGCGTAAGGTTGAGAGGAGGAAAGCGGCTGTGGAGGAGATAAAACGCAAACTGAAAGATGAGCAAAAGAAGATGAAGGAAGAGGTATATATTCCGGGGGGGGGTGTATTTTCAAAGCAAACATAATAAAATATCAGACCTTTGTCAGCTTTTCCAATTCTCTGATGAAGTGTCACTGTATTAAGTAATACTGCATGGTTCGTGAAGCTATAGTGAAGCAATGGTTGCCTAGGAACTATTGAATGAGTTTCCTTAGAGTTTCCTCCTGGTCAGAAACGGTTTTTGCCAAGAAATCTGTGGCCCTCTAGATGTTGCCAGGCTACAACTCCCATCATCCCTGACTGATGGCCAGACCTGATGGGAGTTGGAGTCCAGCATTGTTTTTGGGGCCCCAGGTTTCCTATCCCTGCTGGGAGCCTATGACCAACAGAATAGCCTGACAGACAGGATTTCTCAAGGAACATGAGATTCCTACAATGACTGGTTTGCCCCCCAAAAGATCATTTAGGGAGCTGCATTATACTGAGCCAGACTATTGGTCCGGTTAGGT